TGTTGTGTACCATCGAGTTAGAACGGATCCATGGCTGATCCACCAGCCAGTTTTCAGAGACAGTTAATTTCACGGAGGCCATTGCCCATCCTTCTACCTCCGAGGAGCTTGTGGATTTGAACTGCGTGCCTTTGGGAGTACAGCATAGCTTCCTTACCACTAGGCCACAGCTCACAGTACTGGACATCTCGTAAGAGCTCAATAAAGATTTGCCAAATGAATGAACGGCCTTCACAGCATTCATTTTGCAGCGTTTAGAAGAGACTTTACTCTGTCAGGGAGAAAAGATACACAGGTTTCGCACCCGGACTCGCTACACACCTCTCTTCTCCCTTCAGCAACTGTTCTCCGTCAGGCTGAGCGCCCACAAGTCAGGAACTTCCCCCTTGAGTGCTCGGAAGGGTTGGGGAACAGGATTATTTTTGTTCTCAAGGCCCCAGGGAGGGGTTAACCTGAGGCTCCAAGACTTCCTGCTCAAACCAAAGGCGAAGTATGCAGGAATTGTGAACCCATTTTATTATATACACAGCGGAGGAAGCGCAAACATAGCAACTAAAGTGATCTACCCAGTATCCCCAACTCCTGCTGCCCCACCCCCAATAGCGCAGACCCCTATTGGGGAGCAGACCCTGGTTAAGGGCGGGCCACGGCCCCCCCTCTGAGTTCCAGCTGCGCTGCCACCACGTGTGGGCTGGGGAGGGGCCTGCGAGGGTGGGCAGGCCGCCGCCACAGTTGGGGGGGGGGGGCGGGAGGACGACCCTGAGTGGCTGGGCGCTCACATCTTCCCTTCGCAGGCCGGGCGGACCCGGACACTCCAGCATCCGAGGCTGGGACTCGGGTTCTCCCCGCCCACCGCGGAGCGGAGCGCAGGCTCCACGGTGCGGAGACCGCGCGCTGCAAGAAGCACCACCCGCTCCGGGCGCCGGCCGGCCCCTCGCCGCTCCTGCCGGGCTCCAGGGCTCCGGCCCGCCGCCTCCTCGGTCGCAGCCCCGCGGGGCCTGCCGCAGTCACCAGCAGCGGAGAAGCACGGAGCACCCAGGTACCCAGCGCGGCAGAACCAACCCGGGGACCCGGCTAGGGACGGAGGGCGCGGAGGCACAGCCACAGTTCCTCCGCCCCGCGCTGGCCGGCCTGCATCCTTCCTTCGGCCCCAGCCCCCCAGTATCTTCCTTGCCAGGGACCCCACCCTACTACCTCCAGCGGCCCCAGCTCCAAACCTGGTTCTTCATACGCCCATCTCCGCCACGAAGGTTGGCCCTGGCCGGGGAGCGCTCTACATCATTCACCCCACCTCCGGGGTCCCAGTCCTGGACGAGCAACCCCGCCCTTATCTTACCACCCGTCCCTTTAGGGGCTCTACTCCCACCTGGGGCGTCCACTCAACCTTTAGGGGTCATCTGACGCCCCCATGCTCCTAACTATGTCTTTGCTCCCTCGAGGGGACTCAGCTCCTCATCCGCTCTCTCCTTCCCCAGACTTCCAGTTGGTTTGCTCAGGCTGCCCCTTCTCACGACCCGGGGCGCCCCATAACTCCTCTTCCTCTACCCTATCCTTTAGGACCTCTGCCCTTTGACCTGGTTCCTGTCTTCCCGCTTGCCCCTCCCCCCTTCCTGGGGGGTCCATTCTCACCAAGGACGTCCATCCAACTTCACCAGTCTTCCTGCCCACCCTTCCACGTCCTTGGGAACCTTCTCAGAACTCACGCCTTTGCTTTCCACCCCCGCCCTCATGGTCCCAGAGCCGGGTCCCTCCAACCACAGCACCCCGGACTGGGAGTCAGGGCTGCCTTTGGGCGCCACGGGCAGTGGCTGGGTGGCGGCTGGCCTGTGCGCGGTCATTGCACTGACGGCGGCGGCCAACTCCCTGCTCATCGTGCTCATCTGCACGCAGCCGGCGCTGCGCAACACGTCCAACTTCTTCCTGGTGTCGCTCTTCACGTCGGACCTGATGGTGGGACTGGTGGTGATGCCGCCGGCCATGCTGAACGCGCTGTATGGGCGCTGGGTGCTGGCTCGCGGCCTCTGCCTGCTCTGGGCCGCCTTCGACGTGATGTGCTGCAGCGCCTCCATCCTCAACCTCTGCCTCATCAGCCTAGACCGCTACCTGCTCATCCTCTCGCCTTTGCGCTACAAACTGCGCATGACGCCCCCGCGCGCCCTGGCGCTGGTCCTGGGCGCCTGGACCCTCGCCGCTCTGGCCTCCTTCCTGCCCCTGCTCCTCGGCTGGCACGAGCTGGGCCGCGCCCGGGAGCCCGCCCCGGGCCAGTGCCGTCTGCTGGCCAGCCTGCCTTTCGTCCTGGTGGCGTCGGGCCTCACCTTCTTCCTGCCCTCGGGCGCCATCTGCTTCACCTACTGCAGGATCCTGCTGGCTGCCCGGAAGCAGGCGGTGCAGGTCGCCTCCCTCAACACGGGCATGGCCGGCCAGGCCTTGGAGACGTTACAGGTACCCGGGGTTCACAGGATAAGGGGTGAGGAGAGAGAGGAGGGAGTGAGCAGCCAGCGACCCATTTCTAGTTCCCATCTTTTTGTCTGAACTCCAAACTCAATGGCTGACTGCACCCATGACAAGGTAAGAGCACTCAGGGTGGCCCAGCTCTCCCCACCTGCTCCTCCCACGTCTTCTCCATCACGTCAGGGCATCACGCATGTCAGAAATCCAGAAATAATTTCCCTCTCTCACGCCCACTCCACCCATTAATAAGGCCTGTGGGGTTGTTTCCTAAATATGTAGAGTACTAGTTCTCACTTCTCTGCATCTCTCCCTCACTTCCCTAATCCGATCCACCATCACTTCTTACCTGGCTCCTTTTTATTCCACGCCAATCTGATTTCTACCTATTTTCCTCAGCATAGTGTGCCAGAGCAATTAAAAAAAAAAATTCTCAGTGTGGTCATGCATTTCCCAGCTTCAGTCCCTTCGTGGCTTCCCATTGTTCTCCAGTTAAAGAGGAAGGCAGGCATCTCGACATCTCTCCTTTCTCTGCCTCTTACTCCGCTGCAACCATCTGACTCTTCTGGCTCTTCAAGGCACCAGACTTCCTTCAGCCTCAAGGTCTTTGCACTTGACTGTTCTCCTTGCTTGAAATGCTCTTCTCCCAGTTCTGCTCGTGTCTGAGTCTCTCAGGCCACTTCTTACTGAAAAGACTTCCCGTGTTCTCCACACCGTATCTGGCCTTTCTCTGTTCTCCAGCTCCTAGTTTACTTGTTGATGTATTTTTTTTTTCTTTTCTGTCTTTCCTACTTGAATTCAAGCTGCACGAGGGCAGAGCACTTCTGGTCCTCACGGCTCCTAACTGTTAGTTGCTGTTGAGTCAGCTCCATATGGTGACGCATTTCCCAGTCTTGCCTCATCTTCACATTCGTTGGCAGGCTTGATTGAGTTCATTGTCTTGGTCACTATGTATTTTGAGCGTCTTTCTGTTAGAGGGCTCATCTTTCAGCGTTATATCAGGTAACATTCTTAGGATTCATAACATTATTACTGGCTAGTTTTTGGAAGTTGATTTTCAAGCCTTTCTCCTTTATCTGCCAAGTCTGGAAATGCTACTAAAACCTGTCCTCCATGAGCGACCCTGCTGGTATTTGAAATACTAGTGACACAATGTTCAGCATCTTGTCGTTGAGTACCATTGATTTGTAACTGACCAGTGTTCTGTTTTCAGAGGACGTAATTAGCACAGGAGAAAACTGGCCATCTTTTTCATACGGAGTGGCTGCTTGGATTTGAACCATGCACCTTTGCAATGGAAGTGTAATTCCTTACCACTAAGCCACCAGAGCTCCCTTATAGCAACTCAGAAATAGGCAAACCGCCACGGTATGACCAACAGACATCTGGAGTGAGATCTTGTCACAGTAGGTGATCCGTACGTGCTTATGAGTGGGGTAGATATTTTTTTTTTAATTTAGGTAGTTTATTTTTCATTTCAATGAACATCTACAGAGATATTGGGGTAGCTCAAGGTCCTGTATCTAGAAGGGAGTGACTGTATTGCCCCTCCCATCCATACAGGACCCAAGCCATATTGTCTCCCTAAGGGATGAATGCATAACCTCAAATCCCAGGGCATTAGGTTACAAGCACCGAGGACAGGTTACTAGCCCTGCGAGTTCATCTTGGTAGATTAAGCTGGAGGAGACATCTGAGGGTGGAGATGCCTTAGTGGCTGAAAGGGTAGCACCCTCATTGGTGGTGATTCTCCAAACAGCTGTTGCACCCCATTTGTGAGGCCCAGAGGGGCAGCTGGGAGATCTTCTAAGGCGCCAGGACTGGTGAAGGAAGTCCTAACTGCAGCCCTGCTCTCTCTCCCTGTTCTCTGGAGAGCATTCTCGAAGAAGGCAGCTGTGGTCATGACTTTGTTCCTCAGCACTGGCATGGTTGTTGAAATGGCTTTTTAAGTCCTTTATTCAGTTGTCTTTTTGTCAAGGTTTTATACATGTTCTAGTTATTCGATTGTTAGATATAAATGATTTACAAACATTTCTCCCAGTGTGTAGCTTATCTTTTCACACTTTGGTTAACTTTTTTTATAAACAGAAGTTTGGTGTTTTTTTTCTCTTTTTTTAAAAAAAACAAGATTTCCTCACATTTTAAGCAGGAACTGGTGCAGGATGTCTACTTTCCTCTCTTCAATGCACCTCAAGCCACTTGAAATTATACTTAGGATTTTCTTGAAATCATCTCATTTATCTTTTTACTTTTGTGAATTGGTTTAAAAACACTTCATCGCTCTTTCAGAAATGGAAAATTAGGATTCCTTGCCACAAATAGAAGGTGATTACAAACACAATTTCTGCCAAGAAGCCTCAGTAAATATCACTGAAGTTCACTTGGGTTGATGTGTCCACATCCTGGTTTCTCTTTGCTAAGTTGGAAGGGCGTTAAAGACCAGGTGGCACCCACACATGGTGTTTTCTTCTGGATGTAACTAGAAGGGGTGACTTTACCCAGTGATTGAATATTCTCTTATGTCCTGTCCTATGCTCTGGGAAAATAGTTACTAAAGACGGAAGAAGTTAGTTGGTCCTAGTAAGATTGACGGGAGAGGAACCAATTCTCAGCACTATTAATGCTTGATACACAAATTTTCTTTCTGTGAAACTGGCTGGCACCAAGGTGAAACTGAGACCATAGTTCAGCACCCAGGCAGGAGTCCCCCAGGTGGTAACAGCTGCAGATCATGGCCTTTGAGCACTCTCTGTGTGCCAGGCACCAAGCTATGCTTATTGATCCCTAGAACAACCCAGAAGTGCTGCCTTTCCCCTGTTTGACAGGTGGAGAAACTGAAGCTCAGAGAGAGGGAAGGTGACGTGCCCCAGGCCACAGAGTTGATAAATGAGGTTCAAGCTTACATCAATCTGAGTTAGCACAGGCTGGAAGACTGACTTGAAACACTATCCTCAGGGGGACCACACTGTCCTTCCTGCCTCACTGGCTGTGTCTCTTTGGCTGCTTCCTCCTGCTCCACCCCAACATTGCGTCCCTGGCCCCAGTGTACCCTTCCCACATTCACTCCTTAGTGACTAAACTTGTCCTGTGCCTGAACATGTCACCTCTGCATGATGCCTTCCAAAACACTCTCTCCAGCTCTGATTTCTTTGTTAATGTGCCCCAGACCGAACTCCAGATTATCAAACCCAGGACACTTAAACCAAGAAAATAAACCTACTGTTGTCAAGTTGATTCCAATGCATGGTGACCCACTGTCAGATTTTTGAGGCTGTAAATCTTTAAGAGAGGAGGTTCTCCTTTGGAGTGGGTGGTGGATTCACATCACTCACGGACCTTTTGATAGAATATAATGTACTCTACCACTAGAGCTCCTTTGGACATGTTGTGCACGTGTTTGTTTATTTTTTCCTAATGTTCTTTGGAGGCAAGAATGATGAGACTTCGCCTTACATACTTTGGACATGTTGCTAGGTGCTAACCCGTGGAGAAGGACATGATGCTGGGAAGGGTGGAGGGTCGGCGAAGGAGAGAAAGACTCTCAACCATGTGGGTTGATGTGGTGATTGCTGCGATGGGCTCTTGTGTGTCAGGAAGTGTAAAGATGGTGCAGGACAGAGCAGGGGTCAGATCTTTTGTTTGTAGGGTCACTATGAGTCGTACTCGACTCGATGGCACCTAACACCACTGCCACGAAAATGGAAGCCCTGAGACCTTGTCTTTTTGCTTACTAACACAGTTCTAGAGTCCGCGATGGCACGTTCGTAGTAGATGCTCAGTAGGTGTCTGTGGAAGGGACGATGTGAATGTAGCATGCTTGACCTCTGTTCACAGTGCTTCCTTATTTTCCTACTTCTCAGAATCAGCTCTTGTATATGATGGAGCCCAGGCCTTTTTATCTTGATTCCTTTGCTCAGTCACATTTATTTAGCATCCACTTGCTCAGAAGCTGTTTTAGACTGAGGATGGGCATATGGGTAGGACATACAGACTCCTGACCCCTGGGAATTTCTCTTCTGGTCAGAAGACAAGGGAAGCTCTGGTGGGCTACTAAAAATCTGCACTGCCAACCCAAAGGGAAACAGTTTGAATCTACCAGCTGCTCCATGGGAGAAAGATGAGCAATCTCTTCCTGCGCTATTTACTGCCTCTAAAAACAAGCCGGAGGCTCAGCTGTGGGTTGGTTCCCACTCAATGAAACACAGCAACAAACACCAGCCAGGAGACAGGGAGCTTTAGTGGTGTAGTCTGTTGGAAGTTGCACCGCTAACCGTAAGGCTATGCTTCTCTGTAGGAGAAAGACAGATGACTCCTCCCATTTGATTTACAGCCTTGGAAACACAGGGGTCAGCAATCAGTCTATTCCAAAATGACAGCAGTGAGTATGAGTTAAGAGACAGCATCGGCTATGGGACAGCTTCATGATACAGGGCTTGTAAGAGCAATGCCTCACCCAGTGAACACACGGGATTTATTACATTTACTGTGTACGTGCTTGAAAAGTGAAGCAGAGAAGTCCCAGTGAGCCCTAACATGGAACACTGACTGGAGTCTTTATGGGTTAAAGGGCTGATACCCTGTCTCTGAGGTATCAGAGTGACCCATGGGCCTCTCAAGTGGGAAATGTGACTATTCTAATTCCTCTCCCTTTTCCTCAATTTACTGCCTCTAAAAGCATGCTGGAGGCTCAGCTATGTGTTGACTCCCACTCAGTGACACATAACAACAAAAACAACAGTCAGGAGACAGGGGACTTAGTGGTGTAGTCTGTCAGAAGTTGCGCTGCTGACATTTTCTTGGTTTGGAATTTGAGACACCATTCCTGTGCTAGTCTTCAACTCTCCCTGGCCCCTAGGCAAGCTTTCTGCACATCTGCGTTGGGGGAATTTGCCTTTTCTTTATTCCCTGGAGAATTGTTTGCATTTGGGGACCTACCTCCTGGGATACTGCCTCTCCTTCAGACTCCTGGGTCATGGCCCCTCACTTCCCAGGCC